ATTAATGAGAAATTGAACAGGTGTTCCTAATAATCCTTTAGGTGAGTGTATATCTATGTGTCTGCAACCGCCACCATTTTCTAATTTTTATGTTGCCATGAGCTTGCTCGAGTCATGCGTTTTTCCACAAATGCCAGCGTCATTTATTTGTTAAATTTGTTTTTGAAGATAGTAGAAATATGCTTTTAAATATGTTAACTGAGCCTTCAAGCTTCATTCTGGTCAGTTTTGGGTGAGTAGTTCAACTGTTGCTAGTCCCAACACAGCAAACAATGCTGTGCAAACCATTTTTGTGTATGAAATTATTTGTAAGGCATTTAGCTCGTTTTACATTCCAATCGGTAATTTTTTTTGTTACATAAATAATCTCTGTTGATTAGATACAAATAATGTAGGAAATGTGTTTTTATAGACGATTAACTAAAAATGCACTTGCAAATGCAGACGTTTTCTTAATTTAATGCTGCAGCCTCGTCATGTGTGTTGGTAACATTCATGTGTGCTTAGCTCTGTTCTGAGGTTCGCTTATCTATTAAATGTTGAAATGATAGATTTCTGCAATCTGCATTGCTCTTTCCTTTGGTTAATTAAGCTTTATTGTGAAGTTTAAGGTGAGTAATGGAATGTTAAGAAAGAATGGCCGATAAACAGCATTTATGTAAACTAACAAAATGATTATCAATAACGTTAAAACGTGAAATACGCTCAGTAGTTTTACCTAATTACCTATTAACAACCTTCACCCTAACAACAACAATCTCTATCATAAGCAACCAACCATTTTTGAGACTGCAAGTGCAACCTGCATAAAAGCAAATTTAGTTTTTTCTCTGCTTTATATGCATTAATGTCTATGCGGCGCGAACCCTATTTAACATTGTAACCTATCGCTCGAAAGTTTGGGATCAGTAAAACGTGCAATTTTTTTTTTTAGTCTCTCATCAAGGCTGCATTTATTTGATGAAAAATACAGAAAAATAATACTGACAAAAAACAAACCGTTCTTGCGCGGCACAAGCCATTGAAATTTTTGGGTTTTATAGGGCAGCACAGCCCATTCCGCATCCTGTGTGGAAGTGTAGCACCTGCATGATTGTGGCGTGTGAAATCAGATCAGCACGAATGCATTAAAAGCTTGTGTTAAAATTGGGCCATCACAAACATATTAAATGAAAACTTACCACTGACAGAAACAGTGGGTTCTCGTGCCTGTTCTTTTGCATTTAATGTCTTTAATACAAGCAATCCTGCGGGTCCTAAACTAGAAGTGGTGATGAGGTCTAAAACTGTATGGAAAGAGTCTTAAAAAGTTATTAAATTTAACTTTATGATTCCTGTATATACCCTGAAAAGGTATTTTTTTTGTAACTTGAATGTAAGTTAATTGCAATAGTATGTAATATAAAGCACTCTAAAGACTTTTTGACCAGGCCTCATGAGTTGACGTGGAATACTTTACAATGCAATTTAAATAATTAGATGTCCATATAATTTGGTAGTACAATGTAAAGCATTGCACATTTTATTGTTGCAAACTGCAGAGATAGGTTCTATATTTTGTAAAACATTTGCAACTGCTTTTTATCACAATAATCACATAATTGATATTTGATATTTTTTTAAAAAATTTTTTTTAGATTATTACATTGGCCTTGATGCATCGGGTCGAGATCGGGTACATTTCCAATTAGAACCGAACTGTCCTACAATGATGCGATCAAGACTTTAAAAGAGCAGGAAACTTTAGCAGTTGATGGAGTAAAGAGTGAATGTGCCTTAAATGAACTGAGCTACTTCCACTGTATTACTGGCTTTCCTCTGGACTTTTTGCACGATTTATTGGAAGGAATTGTACCTGTGGAACTTGGTTTGTGTTTAAAGACGCTGATTGGCAGGAAATACTTTACATTTGAGGAACTGAATACTGCGATCCAGAATTTTCCCTACAGATTTTTTGACAATAAAAATAGGCCACAGAAAATCCCTAAGACCTTTACTGTTAATGGTACAATTAGAGGGAATGGACACGAGAATTGACTGTTGCCTCTACTAATTGGAGATAAAATCCCTGAGAATGACTGTGTATGGTCTGTAATTTTAGAGTTAAAAGATATTGTTGAAGTTCTTGCATCATCTGTATTTACTGAAGAAAAACTTTGCTACCTTGAGGCCAAAATCCACGAGCACAGACAACTTCTGTGGGAGGTTTTTCCAGAGTTTAAACTGAGACCTAAGCATCATTTTTTCGAACATTATCCGTATCTCATTCGCTGTTTTGGACCTCCGCTTGACTTCTGGACCATAAGGTTTGAAGCAAAGCATAGTTTTTTCAAGAAGGTTGTAAATAACTTCAAAAACATTCTACATACTGTACATTAGCTTGCCATCATCAGCTTATGCTGGCTTATTACATGGACTCACCCGCTTTGTTTAAGCCAGCAGTTGAAGCGAAGAAAATTTCAGTGGTGGCTCTTGACTGTTTGGATTCCTCTGTCAAAAGTACCATCAAGAGTCAATTCAGTAGTGTGATGACTGTGTGTCTTGCTACAAATGCTACAATTCATGGAACAAAGTACACCAGAGGGATGTTTCTATCAGCTGGGAGCACAAGTGGACTTCCTGACTTCGGTAAAATAGTCAATTGTATTGATTGTTGAGAACAAGCCATATTTCATCATTGAGCCTTACACATCTTGGTACATAGAACATCTCGGATGTTATGAACTCTGCAAGAACCACCTAGAAAAACAACGTGCTGTCCAGCCAGAGGATCTAAATCATTATTCTCCCCTATCTGCATACATGGTGAGAGGCAGGTGCCTCCTCTCTCCAAAAGCATTTCTTCTTAAGTGAAGTGAGTTAACTGGATAGGTGAGGTTTATTTGTTTGTATATAACTGTGGTTTGTTGAGCAGTATTTTTATTCACATGTGATTACTCTAATGCTTTTGTTATTTGCAGACTTACACCTCCGAGCTTCCTGTTTCTGTGTCCAGATTAAGAGGCTCCGGTTCATTGGAGAGGTGATGTTTGTATATAACTGTAGTTTGTTCAGCAGTATTTTTATTAGGAGGCTCCAGTTCACTTTATTTGCATTTTTATATTAAAATTATGTAGTCCGTGGCATAAAATATTCATAAAAAGACAACAATATCGACTTTTACAATTGTTTCTGAGGCATGATATCGACCAAAAAAAAAACCTTTTTGTGACGGTCCTAATGGTTACACTAATTGAAAAAAGCGGAGTTATATAGCCATGGTTTAGTTGTTCAACTGATAATTGTAGGCTTAAAATATTCCTGAATATCTATTCTAAAATGCTTTTATTGTGCAAATATTTATTTTCTTTTAGATCTGGAGGATCATAATGCTGTTTAGGATCATACTTGGCGAGAATGACATTCGGAAAATCCATGCCGATTGTTTACCAGAAACTCTTGATGATTTCTTTGCATTTTTGAAATGCAAGCTTGCAGTAGATGGAAGCTTTGTGGTTCAATTCCAGGATCTGGATTTTAACAATGAATTCTGTAATTTGACAAACTTAGCAGAGCTTCCCAAAGAAAAGGCCACATTAAAAGTAATTGTTCAACCAACACTGGAGTCGAATAACACGGATCCTACGATAGATGTGGGAAGTTCAAGCACTGCATCATCCCTGGATAATCCCACAAGTGGTGGTCGACGCTCTTTGCCATGTCCATTTCCTATCCCCAAATTTACGTATGACGTAGAGTTACAACTGAGACGTGGAAATGAGGCATATCACAACAATGGAAATTTATTGGACATAAGCAAGGACACAAAATCGGAAATTCTTGAGAAATTAGCAGAAGCAATATATGCCTTCACCCCATACCCACAGCGTGACGATTTTGACAATGTTGCACAAAGTCTTATTAACAAGCATCCGTGTCTTAAGGAACCTGGGTCTGAGAAAGGATGGTACTGTTGGAAGTATAGTCTAAAATTTAAAATGGGCAACTATCGCAGCAAGCTCCGGGCAGCGGGATGTGCTGAACTGCAAGTTAATCGTCACTCTGCTTCCTCAGATTTGGGGACTAAACGAAAACTGAAGAAAGCAAACAAGGCTGAAACCAATTTCCTTCCTGATCTGCCACAAGATAAAAGTCCAGCAATGCTTGAGAAGGAGAGAGAGTCCATGGTGGTGGAAATGAAGAAGAGAAAGGTGGACTGGAATAAAATGTGCATGATGATGGCAAACACATTTTCAGTGCGAAGGAAAGAAATTGTTGAAAACGAGCCGCTTGTGAAAGAGGTGAAGGCTAAATGGCCAGGATTGTTTTTTGAAAAACAAGTGACCAATGGGAATATAAAGTATTAATTGTGTACGATTCTGAATGTAACACAACAGTATATGTAAAGGGTTAATGCAGCAGTATGTTTAACTAGGGGTGTAATGGTTTACAAAATTCACAGTTTGGTAAATGCCCCGGTTTTAAGCCATGGTTCGGTATAATATTGGTACAGTTAGAGGAAAGAAGTTTAAAATATAAAATTGCTTGTTTATTTTTAACATTTGTAAACATAGACAGTTTACATATGTTCAAAACTATTTTTATATTTTAAACAATCTCAAATAAAATGCTTGCTTAGTTTAAATAAAATATAATAAAACAGCACTCAAACGATAATTAAAATCTCAAATAAATTTTGTAAAAATATATTTAAATTAAGCACATTGCTTGAAGTGTTCCCTTAATGATAAGGGAGGGTCTTCAAGTGAGCATATCAGAAACCCCGGGGGCGAGCAAACAATTCAAGATGCAGTGCTCAGGAACTGTTCAGAAAAGCACTGAGCATAATGCGGAATGCTGTGTTTTTGAGACGTGCTTTTGAGACATGAGGGATTTAGACAAATTGTCATGCCAACTTGCTAGATGCTGCAAAAGACACAACTGGAAACTAGCACAGTGTTCTGTGTGAACAGTTACTTTAGCATCTTTGCTAAACAAGCATACAGTCCGACACTTAATGTCTGTATGGAATTGAAGTTCTTCATGCAACACAAGCTTACTGCTAACTTACTGCTAACTACTGATTGCATTCGCTACATGTGTGCACCAAACCAGAAGCCCTGTACCAAAACTGTTCGTACAAATGTTGTACCATTACACCCCATGTGTAATCTCTTTGGTCACAGTAGTATTTCTAATGCTAAAATACTGTATAATTATTGCTATCCATACATTTGTCACATTTACAAATTATTCCCTGCCTCAACTGCTTCATATTGTTACATAAATGCAGTTATTCAGTGCCATTGCTGTCTATTTATGTTAGCACATATTTTGTTTAATTTATGAATTGCAGAGTAAATGACATGTCTTTATGTCTAACAGATTGAAGCAGAGTTTACTCGCCTGACTTCTAAGGACCTCATGAACGCCTTTCTGTCAGGTTTGGACCAGTATGTTCCCAGATTCCTTCAGATGTTTAAAGCAAAGATGAGCAGCATTTCACAATTGGAAAGTCTTCTCAGCAAGGTTGACAGTGATGTGAGTATTTTAGTTTTGTGCTTGTTCAAATTAAAACATGTTGGTTTTGTTTAATTTTAATCACGCAGATCTTGCGTGTCATTTTCTGTCCACTGTTCCGTTCCCTTTTCTCCCTATCTTCATAAAACCCAAAATGTGTCAAAAATCTGTCTAAATCTGTGTTAGTGAGCACTTCTTCTTTGCTGAGATAATCCATCCACCTCACAGGTGTGGCATATCAAGATGCTGATTATTGCACAGGTGTGCTTTAGGCTGGCCACAGTAAAAGACCACTCTAAAATGTGCAGCGTTATCACACAGCACAATGCCACAGATGTCGCAAGTTTTGATGGAGTGTACAATTGGCATGCTGACTGAAAGAATGTCCACCAGACCTGTTGCCTGTCAATTGAATGTTCATTTGTCTACCATAATCCGTCTCCAAAGGCGTTTCAGAGAATTTGGCAGTACATCCAACTGGCCTCAAAGATGCAGACCACGTGTAAACACACCAGCCCAGGACCTCCACATCCAGCATCTTCACCTCCAAGATTGTCTGAGAACAACAATCGGTTTCTATAACCAAAGAATTTCTGCACAAACTGTCAGGAACCACCTCACGGAAGCTCATCTGCATGCTCGTCGTCCTCATCGGGGTCTCGACCTGACTGCAGTTCATCGTCGTAACTGACTTAATCAACTCTATGTGAAGATGTGTTGCACTGTGTGAGGCAAATGGTGGTCACACCAGATACTGACTGGTTTTTGAACCACCACCCCATACAGTAAAACTGCACATTTTAGAGTGTCCTTTTATTGTGGCCAGCCTACGGCATACCTGTGCAATAATCATGCTGTCTAATCAGCATCTTGATATGACACACCTGTGAGATGGATGGATTATCTCGGCAAAGGAGAAGTGCTCACTAAGGCTGGGCACACACTAAAAGATTTTTCAAATCTTATAAGATCTTCAAAATGTGAGTGACCACAAACATGAGGAGGAAAAATCCTAGATTTAACTGTTTTGCTCCTGTAGTGTGTGGTGTGCTGTTTTTGTCATGTTGTGGCATATCACTCATTACAGGAGCAAAACGGTTAAATCTTAGATCTTTGAGTTCAGCTCATGAAAAATGGGGGCAAAAACAAAAGTCATTTGCATTCATAATTTTGGTCAGTGTACATCTTCTGTGAAAGAATATTTTGTGCATTTTAAAGTTAAATACTTAAGTCTGGTAGACTAGAGATAACTATAAAGCAGTTACATTTTTGTCAGCCTTAACCTAAATCAATCTAATATTTTTTTTTTCTTTTAAGAATTCCGTCAATGAAAAGGGCCATTGTTCTTCAGGGCCTTCCACATTACCTCAGCGAGGATCCTTCAGATTTCTTCAAGTCAGCAGAGGTAGACTTGCATGTTAATATTATACCTTTTCTTAAAATAATGGTCTGTATATGTTCAATCATGAGCCTGTTTGTGAAATCTAGAATAGGTTCATAATCTAATTATTAGATAACAAATGGCAAATTTTGATTTTAGCTGTTCAATACGGGTACACAAATATGCATTCATTCATCCTTATCTAATGCAGAGATAATCATGAGTTAATTTTTAAGTCATGAAGAACTAAACCATTTATTAATAATTACTGCATTAGAAACAAATGAACATTCTATATGATTTATAGATTAAATCAATAAATTGTTATTGCTTAAATGTGTCATTGTATTAATTCCCTAATAACTTATTTTATTAACTAATAGTGTAAATTCATGTTTTAATTTCCACAATGGGTTGAAGCCATCCATTTCAACTTCCAGTTGTCTGCTTTAATCATTAGTCAATGATTTGCAAAGAAATTATGTTATGACTTGTTGAGGCACAGAACTATTAACTAATTAAGTCATTTGTGGTTATGGATTTAGAATGAGTTAGGTAATGATTAATTAAAGAAGACAACTGGAAGTTGAAATGCATGGCTTTAACTTATTGAGGCACATGACTAACTAATTCTTTATCCATAACCACAATGACATATTTTGTTAAGGCACAGAACTATTAACAAATTAATTCATAACATAATGATACATTTGCAAATTATTAGCTAATGAGTAATTAAAGCAGACAACTGGAAGTTGAAGTACATAGCTTTGACCACTGGTAATTAACATAGGAATTTACATCATTAGTTAATAAAATAAGTTATTAGGGAATTAGTACATTATGACAAATTTAACTAATAACAATGTATTGATTACTTAATGTGTCATATAGAATGTTCATCAGTTGCTGATGTAGTAATCAATAATAAATGGTTTAGTTCTTCATGAGTTATACATTAACTCGTGATTATCTGTGCATTAAGTAATGCATATTTTTTTCAAACGTAAATTATCGTTATATTTTCATAGAATCTTCTTTATGTCATGTAGGATAATTTAATGTAGAAAACAGTAAATTGCATAAAATACCATAGCATTTTGCAGGCAGGGTCTCAAGATAGTTGTTCTCCCTACTTAATTTTCTGCTAATAATTGGGTTGTACAACAATAAAATAACTGACATTGAGTAAATATTTTGATTAATTCAATTACTGTAGGAAACCGACATTGAAGACCGAGTGACTGCAGGAATGGATGTGGGCATTCTCATAATGCCTGAAGGAGATGATGCCTTTGACTACTCAGTGGTGCTGGAGGAAGAGATTGTCCTGAGAGATGTGAAAGAGCTTCCTCATGCTGTAGCTCTACTAGTTGGGCTGATTTTTACGCTTAATATTGATTACCCCAAAAAACTACGCTACACATTTGAGGTGATTCAAAAGATTTTCATTGACCTTGGAGGTGATCAGTGTTCGGTAAAGGTGCATGGACTGAAAAATAGACTCCGCAAAACAGTAGTGTCCTAAGCGAAAACAGTGACACTTTTATACTGTTTATACAGTATTGTTCATGGAGTACGTTCTTCAGTTTCCTTAGTTTTTATGCAGTATTGTTTGATTTTGGACATTTGACTTTTTACACAGTGTTGTTCATTGCAAAGTTTTTAATGCAGTATTTAATGCTGTACGTTACTGTTTTAGACGGTATTGTTTTTCATAGAGTACATAATCGTTCATGCAGTACATTGCTCTGTATTTTATGCATGTTTATGCAGTACATCACTGGTTCATGCAGTGAATTACTCTATTTTATGCAGTATTATGTATTACATCACTGTATGCTTCATAGAGTACATATCTTTGTTCATGCAGTACATTTACTCTTATTTTCTGCAGTATTGTTTGTATTACATCACTGTATGTTTCATACAGTACATTATCTTTGTTCATGCAGTACATTACTCTGTATTTTATGCATGTTTATGCAGTACATCACTCCTTCATGCAGTACATTACTCTGTATTTTATGCAGTATTGTTTATGCAGTAAATTGTATGTTTTATACAGTATTGTTTATGCAGTACATCACTGTATGCTTCACACAGTATCATTGCTAATTAATTGAACTTTTAGTGAAAAAATAAATTTAAAATGTTTATGCACTTGTCTGTTCAACTTTATTCTTATAGTCGAGACAACTTCACAATTTAAGTTCACTAAACTTAGTTAATTGCACTTGTTTTATAAAGTCCTGTCAACTTTATTCTTAGGTAATACAACATCACAATTTAAGTTCACTAAACTTAAATTTTGTTCATTGCACTTGTTTTATAAAGTCCTGTCCACTTCATTTTTAGTTAAGACAACTTCACAATTTAAGTTAATTAAACTTAAATTATGTTCATTGCACTTATTTTATAAAGTCCTGTCAACTTTATTCTTAGTAGAGACAACTTGACAATTTAAGTTCACTATACTTAAATTATGTTCATTGCACTTGTATTAAAAAGTCACGTCAACTTCATTTTTAGGTAAGACAACTTCACAATTTAAGTTTATTAAACTTAAATTATGTTTATTGGACTCATATTATAAAGTCCTGTAAACTTCATTCTTAGTTAAGACAACTTCACACTTACTTTTTTAAGTTGAAATAACTAACATCTTTTTTACAGTGTAGGAACACCTGTTCAATTTCTCATTAATGCAATTATCTAATCAACCAATCACATGGCAGTTGCATTTAGGGGTGTGCTCCTGGTCAAGACAATCTCCTGAACTACAAACTGAATGTCAGAATGGGAAAGAAAGGTGATTTAAGCAATTTTGAGCGTGGCATGGTTGTTGGTGCCAGACGGGCCGGTCT